CTTCCTCAGCAGCCTTAGGAAGTACATCCTCTGCTGGACCCTTTTCAGGATGGAGTTGATTTTGACCTCCCATTTTATGACCTGAGAGGCTGTGATTCCCAGCAATTTAAAGGTCTCGACAGTTGACAGAGGGCAGTTGGATAGTGTGAGAGGCAGCTGTGGCGAAGGATGTTTCCTCAAGTCCACGATCATCTCTACAGTCTTGAGCATGTTCAGCTCCAGGCTGTCTTGGCTGCACCAGAGTGCCAGCTGCGCCAATTCTTGTTGGTTGTGAAAGCGCTATATAAATCAGCATGTATTGTATTGTATTGTATGCAGACTCGTCACCGTCTTTGATGAGGCAGATGACTGTGATGTCGCCTGATAACTGAGTTTGACGGCTGGGTGCAATGAGGGGCAGTCGTTCGTGTAGAGCAGGGGTCTCAAACTCCGGTCCTGGAGGGCCGCTGTCCTGCATGTTTTCCAAGTCTCCCTGTTGCAACACACCTAATTCAAATGATCAGATCATCAGCAAGCTCTGCAGAAGCCTGACATTGAACCTGTTCATTTGAATCAGGTGTGTTGCAACAGGGAGACTTGGAAAACATGCAGGACAGCGGCCCTCCAGGGCCTGAGTTTGAGACCCCTAGTGTAGAGGGAGAAGAGCAGCGGAGTGAAGACGCACGCTCAAGGGGTCCCAGTGCTGAAGATCTGGGTTGATGATGTTGTCCTTCCCAGCCTCACCTGTTGCGTCCTGCCTGTTAGAAAGCTGAGGATCCACTGGCAGATCGTAGGAGACGCATTGAGCTGGAGAAGCTTGGAGAAGAGGAGTTCCGGGATAATGGTGTTGAACACAGCGATGAAGTCCACAAACAGGATCCTTGCATAGGTCCTTATGTCGTCGAGGTGCTCCAAGATGTACTGCAGCCCCATGTTGACTGCGTCATCCACTGACCTGTTTGCCCAGTAGGAAAACTGCAGGGTGTCCAGCAGGGGTCTGGTGATGTTCTTAAGGTGGTCCAGCACAAGGCGTTCGAAGGACTTCATGACCACAGATGTCAGAGTGACAGGTTGTTCAGTTCCGATGTTGCAGGTTTCTTGGAGACTGGGATGATGGTGGACTGTTTGAAGCAGGAAGGGACATCACACGTGTGAAGAGCAGAGCCAGCTGTTTGGTGCAGGCTTTCAGGCATGAGGGAGACACCCCATCCGGCCCAATAGCCATCTTGACCTTCTGCTGCTTGAAGAACCGTCTCACATCCTGTGTGTGGATCACTAGAGCAGAGAAATTGGGTCTGGGGTGTGAATGAGGTAGGGGAAGGGCAGGTGTGGGAAGTGTAGGTGTCCTTTTCAAATTTGCAGAAAAACATGTTTGGATCATCAGCCAGTCCCTTATTGTTCACTGTTTGGGGGGCATGGTGTCCTCTAGTTCAGGGGTCCCCAACCGCCGGTCCGTTGGACCGGTACCGGTCCGCCGGGCATTTGATACCGGGCCGCACAGAAAGAACTTGCCTTAATTCAGTTTTATTTTGGAATGCGAAAGATGTTTTATTGTGAAAAACTACTGGATTCTCCGTTACATCCGTCTGTGTCACGCTTGACACACGTCAAGCCACGCTTCTCCATCACGTGACCGATTGCTTCAAAACAAAACGCAGAAGCTCGCAAAATGAGTAAAAAAACTGCTGGAGATCGCAAATCACGGCGGCCTTAAAAGTACGTTCGAGACAACTGGATTAAAGTTATGGCTGAATACTCTGAGATCGCCACAATAGCACTGTTGCTATTTCCGACAATCAAGCTCGGTGCTGTGGTGAGTCGTCATTTTCATGCACTTTGAATTTGCGTTGTATCGTATTTTGAAGGCATTAAACATTGCCATAGCGATCGGAGTGTTGCGGCCAGATTAGACGCTCCTTGTGTTTATTATTATATTTCGAAAACACCACAGTTTTCATGCAGCTCATACCATATTAATTTCTTGTATTATTTCCACCACACCTTAAATGCCGGTCCCTGAAAATATTGTCTGACATAAACCGGTCCGTGGGGCAAAAAAGGTGGGGGTCCCTGCTCTAGTTTGTAACTGCTTTCAGGCCATTCCACATAGATGCAGAGTCGTTAGCAGTAAACTGTTTTTTCAGCCTCTATAGTTTGTCTTTGCGATGTTAATTTCCCTTGTCAGATGGTTTCGGGTGTGTTTGTACAGTGTCCTTCGCCTCTTCTAAAGGTGGCCTCTTTCGCTTTTCTAAGTTGTCTGAGTCTGGCAGTCATTCATGGCTTATTGTTGCTGAAGGAATGGTAGGTCTTTGCCAGTACACACGTCCTCACAGAAATTTATTTATGTTGTGACAGTGTCAGTGTATTCGTCCAGGCTGCCAGTTGAAGTTTCAAAAATACCTCAGTCAGTGCAGTCTAAGCATTCTTGTCGTGCCAGTATTGCTTCATCGGTCCACCTCTTCATGGTCTTAACAGCAAGTTTTGCACATTTGAGTTAGTGCCTGTATGTTGGAATTAAATCAAATAAACAGTGATCAGACAAGCCCAGCCCTGTGTGGGCAACAGATCGGTATGAGTCTTTAAGTGTTGCCTGGACCAGGGTGTTGCCTGGTGAAACAATCAATCTGCTGCTTATATATGCGAAGTTGTCCTCTTATAAAAGCACACAAGATGATGAGGAGAGAGTCTGGATGCTTTCGCTCGAGTTCGTTTACTTGGTCAGTCAGCATTTGTAGTGCTGTGTTCGCGTTAGCTTGCGGTGCGTAATAAACACTGTTGAGTATGAAAGAGAACTGTTCTGTGGATGGCGGCGCAGGTACTCGCAGCGGCTCCTCTCTCTCCTGTGGTTGAGAGGAAAGTAATTTCACATAGAGCACATTTGACAATAAACTTGACTTGCCTTGACTAATAGCCCATTACTACAAAAATAGTCTCTTGGAGCTATTTGCGAAACCTAACAGAAAGTACCCAATTTCTTTCAAATTTGGCGTTTTATAGTGGTCACATTTTAATTCCTCTTTGAGATTTTACCGATTGTTTTGAAACTGTGATTGTTTCATCTAAAGACGTTCAAGATGAAAAATAAAAGCTTTTTTCATTTCTTAATGGCTATCACAGAGGAGCGGTTGACGTCTTGTCTTAAAGAAGTGATTGATAATTTGGCCAAAAGAAGCCCCACTGTGCAGAGGTGCAGGGGTCGATTCCCGCTCCGGCCTTCCTTTGTGGAGTTTGCTTGTTCTCCCCGTGCCTGCATGGGTTTTCTCCAGGTTCTCCAGTTTCCTCCCACATTCTAAAAACATGCATGGCAGGCTGATTGAGCACACCATATTGTCCCTAGGTGTGAGTGTGCGCGCATGTGGTTGTTCATCTCTGTGTGCCCTGCAATTGGGTGGCAACCAGTTAAAGGTGTTCCCCGCCTACTGCACGAAGACAGCTGGGATAGGCTCCAGCACGCCCCGCGACCCTAGTGAGGGTAAGCGGATCAGAAAATAGATGGCTGGATGGAAGCCCCACTGCGAGTCACAGGCTAAAGGACTCATGGATGAATGAGTTGTTGTTGCTCCCAAAACATTAGTTATCTGAACTTTCCCCTGGATGAAATCTATCAGTCCTGTCTCCCGGATTGATATAGCAAAAAAGTTGGGACACAGATAAATACACATTCACAATAATACTCGCACACATAACCCTGTTATCGCTGCCTTTGTTGGAGCTCAGAAAAATTCCTTGTGAGAAACCTTCATTCATTCATTCCTCCATTCATCCATCCGTTCCATCCATCCATTTTCAACACTGCATATCCCGAAGAGGGTCGCGGCGAGTTGCTGGAGCCTCTCCCACCTGACTTCGGGCCGAAGGCAGACTATATTCTGAACTGGTCGCCAGCCAATCGCAGAGCACACATATAGACAAAATACCATTTACACTCACAGCCACACTGTCCTTGAGTGGGAAATGACCCCATGCTGCCCACATACAAGTCAGGTGAGTGTACCACGACACCATCAGCCATTCATTCCTTCATTCACCTTGAAACCACTGCAAACCTCTTTACTATAGCAATAATATAGTAGAAATAAATAAATACAATAAATAGAAAATAACGTGATACTCACATGACATGCTGATGCGAATTCAGAAGACATCCTTTCTTTGCTCCTGTCAATCTTTGTAACGCCCCTCTCCCATTGAACTGTGAACAATTGCCAGTGTTTTTGAAAGTGGCGAAGATTCCTCAGGTTTCGTTCAAGGTTGCAAATGTTCGCTAAACGGTCCCTTGTACTTTTCTTGTCACAAGGGAATTTTTAACATGTTCAAAAAAAAAAAAAAACCACTAAAGCTGTTCGTGAACATCTGGCGACCATTTGTGACCTTGAGCGTACTCTGACGAGAATGTAACATTCGCTACCTACAAAAACACTGGCACTTATTCGCATCTCAGTGGGATAGAGGCTCAAGATTGCTGTTCCACTCATAGAAGCTGGGAAGGAAGACTGGGATCCAAGGGAACAACCTTGCCTGCTATCTGCTTCAGCCCACTTCGCACATCTTTGCTATCTTGATGATGGAGTTTGTACCCTGTCTTTTGACAGCATCCGATCCCACCTTGTGTACAACTTGAAACACCGTTTACCTCTATTGCTGTGGTGCACAATACTGAGAGCAGTTTCCAATATTTTGATGACCTCATTTTGCTACATCATTGTCAATTAGTCATATGGTGTAGTGCCGTTCTACTCCATCTCACACCACATACACAATAATAAATTATATTTGCAATACAATATTGTTAACTTGAGAACATTTTGACAGTGGGGATTAAAATTCTATATGATTACCCTTTCTATGGCCAATCAATGTATTTTAAGTGTTTTTCATGTAATATATGTGACTACATTCAAAATGTTTAATTTTCATTAGGAATTACATATTTGTTTCTGACAAAAAAAATGTGTGAACCTCCCTTTTGTTTCCATGTGGATACTAACTGTTGCACATTCCTTTTTTTTTTTTTTTTGCAGGGGCTGGATTAAACACTCTCTTTTGGTATTCTGACCTGTCATCTATCATCTCACCACAAATTAGAAAAGGAAAACATTTAATACTTGGACAGCAAAATAGATCGATATATATAATAAAAAAAATAAAAAATAAGTATAGAGTATGGCTACACTGAGGCAACATCTAAGGACTGGACATCTACTTCAGCCTTCTTATATGTGCAGCAAGAAAATGCGATATATAGGTTTGGAGCGTCACAGAAGCACTGGAAAATGGTGGTCCTTTCTATGGCTGGTTCTACTCCTAATGCACATGATTCCTGCGAAGGGTGAGAAAATGTATGACAATGATCCTGTGGTCACAACCACCAATGGCAAGCTTCGTGGAATCAAGAAGGAGTTGAACAATGAGATCTTGGGCCCAGTTGTGCAGTTTCTCGGTGTTCCATTTGCAGCCCCACCCACAGGCGAGCACCGCTTTCAGCCACCTGAGCCATTAGTGCCATGGCCGGATATCCGCAATGCAACACACTTTGCCCCAGTGTGCCCCCAGAACATTGTGGAGGGCCGCCTTCCTGATGTGATGCTTCCAGTCTGGTTCACCAACAGTATTGATGTTGTATCATCATACGTCCAGGACCAGAGTGAGGACTGCCTCTACCTTAACATCTATGTGCCCACGGAAGATGGTGAGTTAGTTAATGGCTAAGGGAACAATGGTTGGAGGGATAGTGGAGAGTGTTAGTGAAATGAATCTGCAACTTGCTTAAAAGTTCAGAGTCGGTGTGTTATTGTATCTGTGTGAGTGCAATTTTGTTTCTGTGTGTCTCTCTCTCAGTAGATTGCATGACCTTGAGCATGTTCAATAAGCATGTTTGTAGTCTAGAACTGTGTGAGTCTTTGGACAAAACATTGACATTATTTTTTTCCCTTCACCATCTCTGTCTCACTTTTCCATCATCAACAACTTGTTTTATTTTACAAGTATACCTAGCAGAGGTTATGCCAGCTTTTTGCAGTTCAAATTAGGGCTGCAGCTATTGAATATTTTTGGATCAAGATAGCCCACTGAAAATTGTATAAAATAATCGATTTATTTGCGTAGTTAAAGAACAATTACAAATATAGAGGTGAAAGTACCACATTGACATAAGAATGAACAATCAATGGTTTTCATCTTTAGATCAAAATTTTTACTTAAATTTAAACTGCATAGCAGCAAACTATATTTTATCCCAGATAGACATTAGAATGTGAGTCATTGGTTGAAGTGACGTCAGAACTCCAGTAGCGATTTTGCCAGCTAAAATAGTACATTTGAGTAAGCCTGGTTTGTTAACAATTGATCGGTGGAACTGTAACTGTGTGAAGCTGTCAGCATCAAAGTGTGGAGAGTAATTTTTGCCTATTAATATGCCTTTGAAGAGTCATCCGATGGCTCTTGCCAGCCTATATCGGCCATTCGCTTAGAAGATAGCTGCTAGCCATGAGACACTAAAGCTAATAACACGCATCATATTGTCCAATGTCAGCGTAATTAATTAGCAGTTTTTCAGTAACCTTGCTTAGCAATTGAACATGACTGCGGGATGGCAACAGTTTCTGATAGCAAGAGAGGTCAAGTCAGCCACTAACACCACCAGAAACGAACAGGAACAACTTCAGAATAAAAGCGTGACATGCCATTTACTGTGATTTCGTAAGATTTGCTTTTTAAGTTGGCCTTCTCACCTCATTGACTGTGTATTACTGTCATACATAGCATAATTGATTTTTGCGGCTTTTCTGCGGCTGACTTGACTGTCTTCCTGACCGTGAACACCAAATAAATGGGAATCCATCATCCCTAGTTTTAATTTAAAAAAAACAAAAAAAACAAAACTTAACACTTAAATGATGAATAAGGAGGGGTGATGAGCTTTGAATTGCTGATATGCCTTACACAATTTTTTTTAACTGTCACAGTCAATTATAGAAGGAAGGATTCAGTCATTGAGTTAGTGTCGTGTCAGTGTCAATCCGAATGATTGGAATTAGTTACCACGCATATAACTTGACCTTTTTCTCATGAGTGACAAGAATATGACAGCTAAGAAGCAGTCTCCATGACAAGCTAAGTAGATTGACGTAGACTGAAGAGAGGTTCAAGAAGTTGAAAAGTTGACTCAAAGAGAACAACTGCCCAAAACGACCGCAAAACAGGAATTAAACAACTATTGAAACAGTAACAGCCCACTTAACAGAACCAGCTTCTCTGCTCAATCATCCACTTGGCTACACACAATGATCACATGAGTGAGCATGGCACTGAAACCCTTGGGAAAGCCGGGCAAAATTACACTTTCAGAACTTCTCTGCTTTAAATGTGTCCGCTTACTTCACAACAGTTTCGACTGGATATCGATTTTGTTCATTTTTCAAATTCCCAGTCCTTCCGCCATTCTTTCAGGGAACAAAAAAAGGCAAAAGGCTAAACGTGCAGAGTAAATACTTGGATGCTGGTTGAACTGAGGTCTAGTCTTTGACCAAAGCCACGCCCCTCATGTGACCCTGCACTGAAAGAACAGGCACAGTCAACAGCTACAGAATGTGACAACTTAGCCACGGCTATTACATCGCAAGCAAGACTCAATTCATAATGGAGTGTTGCGTTGTTACCAGAGGTGGGCACTTCACAACATGTTGCCACTCCATCATTCATCATCCGTCAGCAGCCTGGTTACCCGTCCGTCATCGTCAGTCTGTCATTTTTTTCAAGATGAACACAACTGTTATCACTTGGTCACTCCATCAGGCTGTCATGTTATTTGAACCGGGCTTCTGTCACTGCTTCCGTTGGTAAATTTCACCGGTTCACCACTCCATCAGTCAGTGAGTCCGTCACAAAAACCAAACAAAAAAAAAAAAACATCATAGTCCAACAGATGAAAAATCCAATGTCATTACTAGAGCTACTAAGCAGCTATAACGTGCCCTCGCAACCTTGGCAACATTGGGGTACTTGCATGTTGGGATAGTGACGCATGAGAATTGTTTGAAAATTAAGTACATCAGATTAAAAGCAATTTTAATTTAAAAAAATAGAACCTCTATAAAAGGCCACAAATGAGGCAAAATTTGAAAGGTAATTAAAAGTGGCCAACTTCCTTTTGAGTTTTGAGTCAGACTCCAGAGAATTGTTTCAGGGCTTGGGCTTATTACGTGTGCCTGAAACATTTGGTAGATCTTGGTAAAATTTTCAACAAGGGCTGTTTCGTAAAAACATTTGTAGATGATGCAAGCCAATTTTTCACCGAAAAATGAACTCATAAAATAGTGATTATTTGGCCAAGCGTGTTGTGTGTACCAAGTTTCATATGTTTTCACAAATGTTAAGACCATGAAACTTATCATAATATTTCTTCTCAAAGCAACACAATCTCGTTTGGCAAAATTAAAAAGCTTTGCTTTTACTGGTCTTCTTGAACATCTTCAGATGACACCCTGACAGTTTCATGACAATCAGATAAAATATCTCAGAGGAGTTTAAATCTGAAAGAAAATTCACATCGACAGACTTCCTCTGAGTTTCAGCATATGGCTCCACTTTTTGTACATCTTGGGCTGTTACATATACATCTTATCAGACTTTGCGGCACCTTAATGGCCAACTTTTTAGCCAAAAAGTCACAATATTTGGTGAAGAGTGTGAGCAACGTCTTGAGGGTTTTCTGACAAATTTTCAGTTGGATTCATTGAACGGGCTCCATGCAGTACATTAAAACATTAAAAAAAAAAAAAAAAAAAGACAATTCTAGTAATCACTAGGTGGTGCTATATGGACAGTATAACTACATTGTATTACATTTCTTCAAAACATGACCATTTATATACATGTGAAGTTTGGGATTTTTGGGAGCATGTGCAGGAGGGGGGTTACTAAGCGTTGTCTTTGTGTGAAAGAAATCTAATAGACACATTTGTATACTCCACCGCTGTCGTATAGTCTTTCGATAACTCAAAATTTCTTTCATGTTGTTGTCCCAAGTCTTAAGATGATTCAGCCAAAGTTTGCAGTCATTCGGATAAATCCTCTCGGACACGTGTCAAAGTCAAGGCCCGTGGGACAGATCTGGCCCGCCACATCATTTTACGTAGCCCGCGAAAGCAAATCAAGCACGTCAACTTCCATGATGCTTGCTAAAGTCTGAACTAAAATTTCAAATTGTCATATGTATCCATAGCAACGTGGAGATATTGCAAGCATTTTCTCCAAACAGGGTACATTAACCGAAACAATGTTTAAACAAGTCACTATTCTTGACTTCTGATTTCTAAACTAGGTATCCATCAATTTGTTGTGTGCTGTGTATGTACCCTGTATTTTCCGCACGAAAAGACGCACTGGATTATGAGGCGCACCTTCAATGAATGGCTATTTTGTAATTTTTTTTCATACATTGGACGCTTCACATTATAATGCGCAATCTACAATGCCTCCACTAGACGGTGCTACGCTCCTTCCATTCAACTCAAGAGGCGTCCGTTCAACTTGAGAGGCGTTCATGACCGCCTCTGAAAAATGTAAATTAACCATTACTGTACTTAAATGAAACTACGAAAATTGAAAATAATGCATCAAAACAGAAAATCAAGCGAGGAAATCACAAAATAAATTCTATATCCCCCCT